ATATATATATATATATATAAACACATAAATAGTTTATGAGCTGTATACATATATATATATATATACACATAAATAGTTTATGAGGCGCTGCTAAAGTTCTACGTACATTTCACATTTCGAACTTTGAACTGCGATAACTAAGTGAAACAGGTACCAGACCACATGATACAGGAAACACACCTGGCAGTCTACTTCATAAGTAAATGGAATGATTGAAAGTGCAAGTGGTGATCCACCAAAGCCGCAAAGAAACCTCGTGCTGGAAGTAAGACTATGTACAGGTAAAGATTGTTTTGTGTTATTCTTTGTCTGACTGAGTACGTAGCTGTATGATATTCGACACAATATCATTAATGAGTTACTGTGTATAGGCCTCGCACTAGCGAGAGAATATCAGTACAGATGCGCTAATAATACTGCACGAAAAAACGCAGTTGTTTTCGCGCAAAGCTATAAAAAGCTGTCTCCCACTTTCAATTAATAGACTAGAAATAAAGCATTAGTAAACCGTAGTGGGAATTTCCTGTTATTCTTATATTGGTCATGGCCTCAATTTCTACGTAGAGCATATTTTTTACAGCAACAGATCGCGAGCCGTGAATCCCCAAGTTCACAGTTCAGGCACGTTAACCATTGTCCATGAAAGAAAGTCTCAACTGTAAGATTTTTTATAAATTAAAAGAAAACTATTTATACAATCAGGCCAGACTAACTTTTATGCTGTAAACAACAAAAGGGGTTTTCTTTCGTTGGTTCCTTTGTATATTATATTATCCGTGTTTTAAATAATATTTCGTAATTTCCCAGGAGAAGTTGTCCATGAATGCTAAGTTATGTGGTGTGTACTATTTGTGCTTTTTACCAGCGTTTGCTGTCGTTCGGGTAGGATTTTATGGTAGTGATAGGGTTAATATAAAATTATTGTGGTTATATAATTTAAAAGGCTACTGGGTGGTTGTTAGATGGAGGTATTTGCCGATATTTTAACAAGTTTTAGTAGTTACATAATTGAAAGCATTTCTGGCCGTTAAGTGACCGGAAATGGTTAAGTTTTAGTGTTTACATGATTGAAGAATCTTTCGATGGTTATGTGAGAGAAGAAAATAGTATTGTAAGTGAAACATTTTTCAAAGTATAGCTAAGTTCGTTTGAGAAAAATAAAAGCAAATTTTAAAAATTATTACTGAATTTACGACATCGATTTCTGACACTTTTTGTGCAACCCTAGAGAAATGTTCAATAAAAAAAACATTTATTTAAAAAATACGGACTCAAGGAACATGTAATAGGAAACCACGCCCTCTATTGTGTGCTTATTCTTCAGATTCTTAAACCAGAGAAGAGCTATCACATAACATCCGCGGTAAATAAAAGGCTTCTGCAAAATCTACTTTCTGATTGGCCATCAACACTAGAAAATCGTCACAAAAACGGAAGTTCATTTCCGGGCTGGACCGGATGACACGATGAGTCCGGTGTTTAGATTTTCTTGGTGGTTTAGCTGTATAAGGTCTCATGGGTGGAGATACGGTGAAGTAGGAAGGGTAGTGTTTCCTCTCTCGACAAAAACAAAAAAAAAAACATCTCTCACAAAGGAGCAGAATGTTTCATTATCCAATATTTATTCTAGTTCGCTTTAAAAACAATATTATTGAGCAAAACACTTTTCTGGTTGTTAAGTTGTATACTTGGAATTAAAATAAGTAACTTGGTTGTTAGGTTGTATACTTGGAAAACCAAGTTACTTATTTTAAGCCTAAATATATATATATATATACGTATATATACACACACACACACATATATATATATTATGTAGCTATTCAAATCAGAAATAGGACAGTATCTGGATTAGTTGACTAAACTCTTCTAATGGATATACGCTTATCGTTTAAAAATTCAAATTTTCTTTATGTATTTTATTACTTTTTCAACACAAATTATATAACACACCAGTTTTTAGATTATTAGTTTCTGCAGTGTGTTATTCATAAATAAAGCGTTAACTTTGGGCGGAAGAACACGCCACACATTGAGCAGTAGAATATCAATTGAATTTATTGAAAACAATTCATGTAAGTAGAGTTCTTTTACGCGGAGTTGGGCATCGAATACTGATAAACCATCGGAAAAAATAGGCCTAAATTGTGATATTTATGACCAATACTAGGCTAATTTTAGACCTTTATATTTCATATATGTTTATTCATCTATAGTAGTAGCATAATATTCACGAAACGATATTAGTCCAGTATTGTGATAATCATGAAATCACACAATTCAACTAACGCAGCAACATACTAATCAGAAGTCACACTATTTGTATGTGAAAAAAAAGCATAATGGGCTTGAAATGAGTGTCTAACCCAGGACATTGTTTTACAGTTTTCTCATAAACCGACACAGGGACTATATCCACTAGTCTTTCCTAATTTTGAACTGATAAACCTGATAGAAGACAGCTATTCAATAGAACACACAGGCAATTTGTGAGCTACTCTTGTCTGGCTGGGAGTAGCCTACTGGTTAACGTGCCGGATTGTGAATCTGAAGATCCACGGTTCGCGTTCTACTGCCTCAAAATCATGCTTAGGACTTTTGAGCGATGGATGCGTTATAAGAGTGACAGTTAAATACCTCTATCAGATTAGAGTAGCCCGAGAGTTGGCGATGGGTACCGTTGACGAGCTGCCTTTCCAACTGTCTGCCAGTTCCAATGTTGAAAAGACTGGTGCAGATTGTTTTATGTAGCTTTGTACAAATTTGTTTAACCGAATAGTGGGATTTGACCGTCACTCTTAAGGCACACCCCGACCCCTCAGCTTCACAACCCGGCATGGTAACCACTAGGTCACGGCTGCCACTTCTAAGTCGGTAAGTATTTTCAGTTTCGTTCTAAGTACATGGCCTGCTCTGATCGGAAGCTGATATTTTTATAAGAAATTTGCCTGGAAAGTTTCACAAAACTCTCAGAGAATTTTACAGCTCAAATGAAATAAAATAATGCCGGAAAAGTAACAGCAAAAAGTTAAATATACTCAAGTCAAGTATATATGTGAAAGTGCCAATGTTTTCTATGTTCTTTTTGTTTAGTCACCATCACATTTGTTATTTTAACCATGGAACTCTTTACAAATCTGTTAGCTATTTATTGTTGGTTCGTTGTT